TAAATTATGTTAGGTATTGATATTTAACATAAATTCATCGATAATTTTTAATAAACATTTTATTATTTCAATTATGTAACGTTTCTTGTCTCTCCTGAAAAAAAAAAAAATAAATAGTATTAGTTAGGGCCTTTCTGCATTTCATCAACGATATGTATATGCATACATATTTATTTAACAATTAATTAATTTCCTATTTTTAGAGTGTTCCAATTCAAACAATCGACTTATAAAGAAAATAACTTTAGAGAAACACGTTGCTAAACAAATTTATGTACATATACACAAAAAATATCGGAGTTTTTTAATTTTTTATTATCTGTTCAATTTTATAACAAAACGTAACAGAGTTGTGGGCTGTATTTGGTAAAGATAATTTTTTCTGTTTGATGGTATGTACATACATACAAAGTATGTTTGAGTTTTATCCTCTCTGGTTTTACTATTTTTTTTTGCCTACTTATGTCCTGTTAAATGAAATTAGATTTTTTTGCTCTATTTCACACAAACTTACATGCGTTTTATTTACTTTACATCATGTTAAATACAGTTAATTAATTACAATTAAATAGGCTTTTAAAATTCATTTTGTAAATATTTAAATATATATTTTTTTTTTTTAATTAAAAAAACAAAATGCAATTCTTTACAGTATTTTTGTAATTGCAATCGTTATTATACACGTTTTTGAATTTGTGTTAATACACGAAAAATGATTATTTGGCTTGCAGATTGCGCACTCTGAGTTCATTAATGTTTATATTTGTTAAATACAAGCGATTTACAGTGAAAGTATATATATTTTTTTAATATTTTTATTTCTTTTTTATTATTTGCTATTTTTTTGTGATATGATTGCTTGCGAATTAATTGTTTATAATGTGTATCTGTGCACACATTATTTGGTGGGGTAAAGAATATAGGGAGATGTTTATGCACGCATAGAAAAATACATACATATGTATGTATGTATGTATATATTTTTATTAGAGGAATTTAGTTGAATTGCACATACAGTGGACGAAAAAATTTGGTTTTGGTTATTTTTTAATAAAAATATAGTTCATTCTTCAACAAAACCCGTATAAATCCAAGTTTCAAACTTTGTGAAATAGTAAAAAAAATCAACAAAATTTCGTAAAAATGTCAGCTTCTTAATTAGATTTTCTAGAAAGATTCTGTGGTCCATTGAATTTTAGTATAATAAAGCATGATAAAAATATTACAAGGTGAATTCATTCTCTCAATTCGTCGGCCATGATTTTTTTCTGACGTTTGACAGCATTTTAAAATCATATAAAGTTGAAAATAAAAAAACGAAATTGTTCACAATTGTTGCTGTTTGAGGTGGAAAATGAGAATGGGTGTGTGAGTTTAAATTTTTAGATTTAAATTATATTGCTGGCAAACGTCAGACTGTCTCCCAATGGCTTTACCTTATTATGTTTTGATCATGGAATAAAGTACAAGTTTTAAGTGCGTTTTATTTACTAAAAATTACCGTTGATTTTTGTGAATTTTTTCTTTGTAGAAGTTGCTACGGTTTTCTTCCGTATAAAAACAAATTGTGTGTATTCGTTATATGGAAGAAATGCGACCATAATTTTTAGCCATTTGAAACTTGTACTTTATTCTACTAGAATTCAATGGACTACAAAACTGCATATGTTGCACAAATTTTAAAATTTGGATTTACCCGTGGTTTGTTAAAGTATACCATACTTTTATAAAAAAAAAATAACCAAAAATTTAATAACAACAAAAATAATATGTCGACCACTGTAGGTATGTACATGCAGTTTACACATACATACATATATGTATTTCCACACGCCACCCTACTACATTTTGTGGCAATTTTCCATTTAATATTTGGCGAATTCCGGCTAACGGTGCATAAACTGTAACACCCTCGTCTTATTAATACACTTATATATGCACTTACACACATACATATGTGCTTATGTATGTACATATGTAGGCGTGATTTAATTTGCATTTTAGTTTTATTTTTTTTTTGTTGAAGCACACAAAACGTGTTACCGAAATATTCTCAAGCTACTCACTTTCAAATGCAAATTTTTGGTTGTACATATGTAAGTATGTATGTATGTATATACATATGGGAGGTTCCATGGGAAAGTGAACCTCAGTGCAAAAATTATTTTCTTTATAAAACTAACAAACTTGTGGATAGGACATTTGTAAAAATCTTGAATCAACCAAAAAATAACAAATTACAGCTAAATGCATTAAATGCATTTTGATTGCATTTTTTTGCGTTTTGAAATCAAGTTCTAAGTAAATTTTTTGATCGAGTTTAAAGTAGGTTCTGACTCCATTATCTATATACCCTTGTGGTCAGCTGATTAAGTTAAATTGCATTTTGACCAATTTTTATTTTTTTTATTTTGTTAATCTAATGTTTATATTTTCTCTTTATAAAAGTCTAACACATTACCTAATCAGAACCACATAAATCTACATTTCAAACTTCTTGCAAAAATTATAAAAATTCGACAAACTCTAACGATTACGTCCAAAAATTTTAATTTTTTAGCTGACGGTGCTAAGCATTTTCTTCTATATAAAAGGCACCCAACTTGGCTTCTTATATTTTTTAATAACTAATCTTTATATATGGACCACACTTAAAGCTCCTTTTCATATAAAAATTCGTATGTGTCCTACCCGTGACAAACGTTGTCCCGCCCGTGACAGAGGAATTTCGGATTTTTTGTATAATAAAGTAATTTTTTTTTTGTAGTTTTTGCTTTGTCTGTGTTCCTGGTTCTTTGTTTTATTATAAGCCATCACGTTCACACAGAAAAGTTTCCGTAAAATATATATGCTCCAAAAAGCAGGTTCTTTTTTTGTTCCACCCGTGACAGAAGAAATAAATCAGATGTTTTCCTAGTAAAGTAAGCTGGAATTTTTTCGTAGTTTGTAATAACTCATATAATAGTCAATTAGGTGTAGCTTTATCAAAGTGTAGAATTGTTCAGTACTTTATACTTACATTTAAACAAGAAAGAAAATTTTTTCTGTACAAATGTCCAACCCGTGACGATGGAATCGCCCATATGTATGTATATATAGGTATTTTTGTTAGTTGCTAAAGTGTTGTAACTCAATGCCTACATTTGTTTACTCGTTTTCAGTAAAATCCAGTAAAAGTTTTTACGAATTTTCATGTTTGGTCATGACAGTTGAAGTTGCAAGTTTTTACTGGATTTTACTGGATAAATTTTTACTTGTAAGAACAAGTACAAAAAGCAGCTGATCGCATATTGCTGGATGCAATTTAAACTAATAAGGAAACTGTTTATTTGTTTTTATTGTTGAAATTGGCAAACTAGATCTATTTAAATATAAAATATATTGTTTTGTTAAGAATTTGCTGTGAATAAACAAGCAATTTATCAGATGTTCATGAAACTTGCAAATTATTACTGGATTTGCGTTCTCGTACTTTTTTGCATATTTTTTCTAAGAGAGCGAATTCTCAGAAATTAAGTTACCGGAGAGTTGCTGGCAAGTTACTGGATAATTTGTAAACCAACACAACTAGTGAACTCAAGTTTATAGTAAATATTTAAAAAAAAAATCAAAATAACTGTAAAAAAGGAAATTCTTCTTTCTCTCTAAATGGAATTCAATTTACAAATCAAAGCCGCTTTTAGAGTAAGCGGCGTACACAGTTTTCCTCATTCCTAACATCTATTAAATTCAGTGCAATTTATATTACAAAAATCATTTCTAAAACCTAGTAAATTCGCTTTATAAGTGCTCGCTAATGCGAACATGAAAATAACTATGACAATTTTCGTTAATTTCGATGCTTGCTGAATCAGCTCTTCGTATCGCGTTGCCTCTTGCCTTTGACGTTTCTCTCAAATATCCTCCACATATGGCTGATTACCTGCATTGCCTGCTGTGAATTGATAGAAAGCGCCGCCATGTGTTTTGGCATACAATGCAGCGATGTTGGCTGTACTAGTAGAGTCCTCGTGGCTCGTCGCTTTAATGTGGGCAGGAATCCCCGCTGAATTCAACTGATATGTATGTCCAACACCAGCATGAACATTGTCCTGATCACCTTCAGATATCACATCATTATTGTCACTACCACCATTCTCTCTTCTCCCTGTTGCTGCATTACTAGCCAAACGCTCGATATTATGGTTATTGTAAGAGATTTGTATGTTGTTTTGGTTAGCAGCATTAATATTGTTAGATAGATTAATGTTTACATAGCTGGTATCGTAATCTATGGCTTGCCGATGTCTTTTTGCTATAATAAAAGAAGGAAGGAAGAAATCAAGTGGGTTGAAGTGAAAAAAATTAAATTAAAATTGAGTTCAACGTAAGAAAAGAGAAGCATGGAATGTTCTCATGGATTCACGGATATGCAGGTTGAATTTAAATTTTGGTTTACTTTTGATACATGTACAGCATGACAACAAAACAACAGCAACAATAGCAAAATGCAGCGAAAACGTAAGCCAATTGGTATTTGAAGGCATGTACATATGTATAAAGTATGTGTATGAGCATGTTATATTTCTGAAGGATTTAAAAATAATATACACTTTATCACTCTGGTACTTGATGTCGAGAACTGCTTGCACGTACTGTTGCTATAAGAAACGAATAAATCTATGTACATACATAGGTACATACATTAGGGACCATCACCATCCATAAAAAAATCCGTACTGTTTTTCAGAAAAATATTAAGATTTACGTGAGCTAAACCGATTTGAAAATACCGCCGAAAATCGAGTTTATATAAATACATATGTACATAAAATAAGTTTTTCAAAAAAATCACTTCAGATGATAGAAGAGTTTAAGCTTAGATGGCCTGCATAAATATGTTTAAAAATTTTATCAATGGAATAAAAATAATGAGATTTTTAGAGGTATTTTCAAATTGGTCCAGCTCACGTAAATCTTAATATTTTCCGTAATATTTTGGCGGAAGTCTTAAAATATAATCAATTTTATAATACCACTGGAAAAAACGCATAATTTTTTTAGTGGGGCACCCTAATGCATATATGTAAAAGAACTTAAACGCAGATATTCACTTTTCGGCATATGCAGAGGTGAAGTGAAAAGAAAAAATCACTGAGTAATTTACTATTTGTTATTATTATTATTTTACAATTCATTAACTGAACTGTATTTTTTAAACGTGTTTTTCAGAAAAATCTAATATCCATGTGTTGTATTCTCACGCATTATCCCAGCATTTTGGACAGTTGAAGTGCAAACATCTGCTGCATATGGATGCCGTGTGTATGAAGCCCAAATATGTTTGTGTGTACTCACCATGTGTGGCTTACATATGTATATGTAGTACAGTTTTAACATATACATATGTACATGCAACTGTTAAGTGCAATGCACACACCCTTAAAAAATTTTCTAATGCTGGCTCACATGAGAGTAGGTCAATAGGAAGGTGATATTTTGTATGAAGAAGAGTACTTTCCTTTAAGCCAAAAGTTGTAGTTTTTTCTCCAAAGCATTGTTAAAACGGTTTGTTTTTGTGTATTCCAAAAAAGTGTTGTCGCAATCTTGATGACGAGCAGATCCGCCTTGACCTTCTTCGACGCCTATTCACGCGAAAAGAAACATTATTGTCATTGCTGCTTGGTTTCCGTCAATGCGATTTTCTAGCGACTTCAAACTTGCACTTTGTTATACTAAATTTGAATGGGCTGTAAAACTGCCTACTTAGAATTTTTCTAGAAAATCTGAATAAAAAGTTGCAAATTAGTGTGCAAATTTAATAAATTTTCCTGAGTTTTGCACAAAGTTTAGAGATTTTATTATTATGTTTTCTCGTGTAGAATGAACATAATTTTTATAAAAAATTATCGGAAATAAATTAGAATAAAGAACTTTGCATATATTGCGAAAAATTCACTGTGCCAATACTTCTGTTCGGCACTGTATATATCCACAGAGTTCTCGGAAACGGCTCTAACGATTTTGATGAAATTTTGTACACCGATAATGTTTCGGATTTTAAGGTTATCTGAATAGGCATTATCTCCGAGAAGACTCGTATAAGGTTGCCACCTATTCGAAATTTGTTACAAATTATTAAAAAATTATAATATGGGTGTCAAATGGAAGGTATTTTAATGATCCCCAATAAAGAATATTTTTAATAGTGTTGCCACCTATTTTGAATCGCATATTTATATAATTTTTTGTTTGAAAAAAGGTAAACTATTTTTATTTATGAGAACTGAGAGAAGGTTCTTAAACAATGCTTTCCCTATATACAAAATGTTATCTCTTAGGATAATAGTGTAAGGTTGCCACTTATTTTCGATTCTACACAATTTATCTAAAACATCGCAATATGAATATCCAATGAAAGGTATTGTTAAGAACTTTGGTCAGAAAATATTTTCCATCAGGGTTGCCACGTTTCTATGTAATACAAATTTTTATTTTGTTAATTTCAATCAACATTTTTTATGTATACACAGTACACATACGATCAAAAGATATGTACCATCCATTCCAGAGAATTTCGCAATAGGATTGCCACATAAATTTTAGAGTAAGGAATTTGCTTAATAGATATCGAAATCCTATTTTTTTGTTTATTTCCAAAATATTTTTTAAAGCTATCCAAATCATGAAAAGTTGAAAAAGTATATGCACTCCGGTCTATGGTACTATGTACTATGTTTTGAATAAAGCCGTTGATGTCACTATTTTGCGATCATGTAACTCTTTGATTATGGCCCTTTGCGCGTACTACCGAATGATACCTGATCATTAGATTTACTTACCGTAGTTTCAAAAATAGTTCATCACACACCGACTAATTTTTTCCTCACTAAATGGGCTCTTGATCAGCTTAGCCTCTGTATGAAAACAGTAACTTTTTAAGCGCGTTCCAGTAGTTTGCCTATTCCAAGCTAGTTTTGCATTAATCGAATCTATTGCAGGGCATAACATTCATCTATTGCAAGGTGGCTCGTGACTTGTCAATTGCTATATTGGTCACCCTGCAACTTTGCCCTTCCTCGGAGCCTACTTTCACAATTGCAGCTTACTATTGATTAACTTTTTCACTAAAGCATTGTATACAGCACGAACTCAACTTATCTAACCTCAATATAAAATGCATATACTATAAACGTGGAAAAGAGGGCGCGAGAGGGAAAAGAAAATCTAGCGATAGCAACTTTTCTGTGACAATGATTATTTTACACCTCAGTGTAAGTGTCAGCTATTGTGTGGATAAACATACATATGTACATACTTATGTATGTACACAAGTATATACATATGTGCATATGTATGCACATTTACAGCGCATATGCAAGTCAACTAATAATCTATAATCGTAAGCGTTTAAAAGTACTTTTTCTATGCAATTATTGCTGCACAGCACAGTCGCTCAATCGTTATGTTAGTCACTTGTAGCCGCCAAGTAGTTGAAAGCTCAATGTGTTTCTTGTATGGAAACACATTTGATTCGTTTAAATATATAAGAGAAAGCGCAAATCAAATTTATAATAACTGGCTGTAAAAAATTGTATTTGGCATATTTTCAACATACAATAAATACAAATAATTTTCACTAATATGTTTTATTTGCAATTTCGTACAATATTTTTAATATTCGTTTATTTTTAGTTTTGGTTTTAGGTTAGTTAAAAATATTGCTCTTCATTTTTAAATCATTAGATAATGATTCAAATTACTATATAAAAATATTAGAAAAGTGATTGGTTGTAGGTATTGATACATCTTTTGCGCCAATATACATATGCATCTACAGACTTACATGTGTATGTATATATTTGAGTTTTTTGATTAGTTTCCCCATATTTTGCAACATATTGCTCGCCTAAGGAAATATGTAATCCTTTCGTAGCTTCTTTATTTATGTATAATATTTATTGCTTCTTTGTACGTACAAACATACACTCGAATCCACTGCTTACAAAACGCACCGAACAATTATGCCAAGGTAGACAGACATACAATTTACGCACGCAGTTGCTTTTCTTTTGGCGCAAAAAAAAAGTAAAATAACATTTTTTCATGTTAAGTAATTAGCTGTGCAACATTTTAGGTACATGTTTGTATATTTATGTGCATATGTACTAGATGTATGTATGTATATATATACTACGAAATGTGCTGTAAACGCACAATTATGCCAAATGAAAATTTGGATTACATACATATAAGCATACATACATACATATGTACATATGCTACATATAATTTTGTAAATTTGTATTTATTTATATATGTAAATTAGGGCGGATCAATTTGTTTAGGAGATTTTTTCGACTATAGGCATAGCATAGGAGAATTCTACGTTTAATTCTAAGAAAATTTGCCGAAGAACCCCTGGGTCTAAAATCAATTTGGAGTTTGCCAAATTGCGAAAATAGGTTTCTTTTACTTAGCATTTTGATGTAGTGCCGTAAGAAAAAATACAATTCTTTTACACATTTCCATTTAAATTCAAACTTTGTACGAAGATTAAAATTCTTGCAATACTTCATCAAAAACTGCAAACTTTTTAGTAAGCATTAAAAAAAATTTCGAGTATGCAGTTTTATAGCACATTCAATTTTAGTACAATAATGTGTAATTGCCTTAAAATTCGCGTTGATTTTTTATTTTATTTTTTTGCCGACTGCGCTAAGCATTTGCGTTTTTTATTTGGAAGAAAATGCATAAAGCCGTAAAAATCAGTGCGGATTTTAAGACAATCAAAATTTGCCGATTATTATATTAAAATTGAATGGGCTATAAAGCTGCATACTCGAAATTTGTTAGAAAATCTTAATAACAAGTGTTCAGATAAAATTTGCAGAATTCTTGTAAATTTCGTATCACTGTTGCGCCCTCTGGCGGATGTTTTAGGAAAACGGAATGTCCAGAAATAGATTCCATATACCATGCATGTTTTTGTACAAAATTTAAGCACTTCTGTAATGTCGTAACAGCAAAATGCTAAGTAAAATAAACCTATTTTCACAATTTGGCAATCCAAATTGATTTTAGACCCATAGTTTCTTCGGAAAATTTGGTTAGAATTACACGTAGACCCTCCTATGCTATACGCCTATAGTCGAAAAAAATTTGCCCGCCCTAATGTGCATACATATGTATGTATGCATGTAAATATTTAGCGTTTTAATTTCACAAGCCACTGCACTTAATTTGCCTTAAATACTGTATATGTCTGTATGTATAAGCGATATACGGATATACATACATATGTACATTTATACATACATACCTGTATGCCAAGAAAATTTAAATGTGCAACTAAATTAAATAAGCGAATATACATATTTAAGTATGTACATTTGTAGGCATATATAAATTTCACACTAAAAGCCATATGTTTTCGTTTCTGTTATCAAGTATGCAGGTATGTAAGTAACTGTGTTAATATTGCATTTGAGGTGACATGGTTATATTTTTTCAATATTTTTTTTTAATATTTATAAAGTAAGAATTAAAAAAAATATATAAAAAAATTTAATACATTTATGCTAAGCGAAGGTACTCAAAGTTGCTTTAATTGCTTTAATATTGCATACAAAATGCATTCAGTAAAAATGTAATAATTCCGCGTAAATATAAAAATAATTTATCGGCGAAGTTCGCTGCAACTGCGAAAATACGCGAAAGTCTCGAAACTTTGATCGAAGCGTGAAAACATCTATGAAAAATAATTTCGAATTTTTCGAGTTTAAGTAAACTGCCAAATTCTAAACGTAAAAAACATCGAAATTCGAAAAAATAGTTAGTACGTAATTCGCTAGAAACTAAAATTTATGAAACTTTTTTCTGGCCTTGACCCAATGCATTTAAATTTCGCTTTCGCTTAGCGAAACTTGTTTTTTTTTTTGTTTTGGTTTTTGCTTTTTTCTCTAGCTTCTGTTTTAATTTAAATCATGTGCGACAACAAGCAGCGACTAACATCCCGATTGGCGCGATGCAAGTGACCTTGATAATTATGTTGTTGCTGGTATACAACTACTGGAGGTGATTGTGCAGTATTTATTACTTGCTGTTGTTGCTGTTGCTCAGCGTGCTGTTGTTGTTGTTGTTGTTGTGTGATAAAGTGTATATTACTTGTCGCATTGTTGATTGTTTGATTGGTGAGATTTGCAGCGTCCATATTGACATCTACCTGTGGTTGCTGCTGTTGCTGTTGTAGTTGTTGTGTGTCCTCGGTGTCCATAAGACACGATTGTGTGCCAATCTGTGTAGAGGGGAGTGAGAAGAAATCTGAAAAAGGAATAGAATACAAGGTGATGAAAACACAGTTAATGTAACAGTATAAACAATTGATTTACTTACTAAGTACGAATTTGTGTGAAGTAAAAAAAAATTTATCTACGCAACATAGCTTAACATAACATAACATAACATAACATAACAGCATAACCAAAACTAACTTTGGATAAGATAAGATAACATAACATAACATATCAAACATAACATAACAAAGCATAGCAAAACATACCAAAACATTACATAACACATCTAATGGAATTCCCAACGAGCGATGACAGTTTTGTAAAAAAGTTTTAGAGATAAAAATATAATTATTTTTTAAAGAAAATCTAAAGCTCCTCTTCACAGTCTGATAATTATGTAAAGCAACCTGATGTAAAGATTCCCAGTTTCTACAACTTCGATATATTACTTTAGTTTTGTATTTTTAGTGCAATTCAAATATGTACAAATAAAATCGCTCACACACCTCTACGACCGCTCAGCGCACTCCACTTTACGCTGCGCGGCTGCCGTCTAGCGTTGACTCACTGTGAACGACATCATCGCTAGCTGCATGACCTAAATGTGTAAAAATAATTGTGCTGTAAAAGCAAAAGCAAAAGCAAAAAAAAACCAGAAATGGAAAACAAAAGCTGTTTAACAACTTTTTTGCAAATAAATATTATCAGGCTTTGTTTACGTCAACTTCAACGTCGACGCCCATGCTTAGCTGTGACAACGCAGCGCACATTTACTTTACCAAATACCGGTTGCATTAAGAATGTGCGACACAAGTTTAATTAACGTCTGACCAAATGAGGTAGGCAAACATAGACATGAGCACAAAAATACAGAAAGAGAAAAGTGCAGTAAAAATTTTGAAAAAAAAAAAAATTCAAATTTATCTAACATCAGTGCCAGCAGAAAGGGGCATTCAAATGGCATGTGCTTTGTCAATTTGCAATGCGACAGGCGATGGATAAATTGCCAGCGAGGCGAGTAAGTGGCTATGGGAAGTTCTAATTATGACAATACTACAGTAAATGATATTGATTGTGAGATCAAGGGCGCTGCAATCATTATTAAAAAAACCTATTTTATAAAACAACTGAACAGAAAAATGCTATTCAAATAAAGTAAAACATTTTACGCTCTTCTAAAACTTGTCTTTTATGTGTTTGCAGAGTAATAAATAAATCAACAGCTTGGCGGTAACTTTATCAGTTAATCAAAGCAAAATATGTTTTGCCTCCATACTTTTTTTTTTGCTTTTCAGAAGGTTTATGACTTTATGACTACGCCGAAGCAAAAAAAAAATGCCTTCTCCTCCTGGAAGGTATTGAGACTAAATTAAGTTATGAAGATAAGTAAGAGAACTTCAAACGCTCAAAAAAGTATTTCTTGATAAGTTGAAATATCTAAATATAATAAAGCAAAAAAGTGTTCTTTATAACTATTACTAGGGTCACTGAAAAAGTTCTTAGAATACCCACGATGCAGAAAATAAAGGTGGCGTCTTCCGCGGACCGCTAACCATTCGTAAATTTGCCAGCATTCTCCTATTCGCTGACGTCATAAAATACTTTTTCCCACTAGGAATTAAAACTAAATTTTTACTTAAAAGTATATAAACGTAGATAGTGGATGGACAATCTCCCCCATTCGGTACTATATCTACCCCTTTTTGACCCTTTACAACAGAGGGAGGCTTGTGGAAAGGTTTCAAAACGCGTTTAAATGCCTATGAAAATGACAGAAAAATTCCCTGTAAATTATTTGGCTATTTTCCAAATGTACTTATAGTGGTGTGCTTTTAACGCTTATCGATGGCTGAGTGGAAGATCGACCTATCTCAGCAGCCAGTTCAAAATCGCCCTATCTCAGAAAATTTTTAAACAACGCTCTATCTCAGAACACTTTTCAAGAACGCCCTATCTCAGAATTTGGTTGAAGAATGCCCTATTCTAGCTGCCGATTCAAAAATGCCCTATCTCAGTTTATTTCCAATGTATTTTCGTCTGAGATAGGGCGTTTTTGATCCGAATTCTGAGATAAGGTGTTCTTCAATAAAATTCTGAAATAGGGCGTTTTTGAATCGACTTCTGAAGTAGGGCGTTCTTGAAAAGTTTTCTGAGATAGGGAGTTTTCGAACTGGCTGCCGAGATAGGTCGATCTTCCACTCGGCCATCGATATGTTCAAATTTAAAAGACTGAAAGCTCAGTTAGGCTAGACTTAATTTCCGTAACTTAATTTAAAAATTTGCGCCTTATTTAATATGATCGTAAGTCTTAACATTTAATGCATGAAACTTGTAAGGAATACAAGTTGTATGGTACAACCCTTATTTTACACCTGATTTCGCTGTGTTGATGTCATCATTACGCCTAGAAAATCGCCTCATGTAAATGCAGCTTTATTCTCGATGTACATAAACAAAGAGAACCATTAGGTACCAAATCAGGATGATTGTACAGCGGATGATCCATAAATTCGATGTTTCGAATGCTTAAAAAATCATTTGTTTGACTAGATGGGTGAAAGCTCGCATTGGCTTGATGAAAGACCATTTGTTGTGTTTAATTTTTTTTTTCTTCCTTTCTCCAAGACTGTTTCCAAACAAATAAATGTTCACCACTCAGAATTAACTGTTCTACGTTTCTCTAATCTCATATTGGCAAAGCTTCTCGATGTTCCTTGGCGGGCGAAGTACGACCGCACTTGAATGCACCATACCAATTATACACACTGGCCCTTCATTGAAAGGCGAAATAAGTTTATCGTTGCATTGTTCTTGCGTTTGGTCAAAAGTTGTTGACAATCATCCAACGAAAACCCTTTTATTTAATATTCATTTTTTGTCTACCTGAAACTTTCAAGTACCTTTAAACAACACAAAGAGTGCTCGCACTGTAAAACGTTCAGAATAGGTCAATGCTCAAAAAATGTGTTGCGAATTCTATAGACTTTTTAGTGACCCTCGTACTGTGTCACAGAACTTTCTTATCTGTTCAATCAATATATCAATAGCGTGTAGTGTCGTTCCTCCCCTATCGGTTGAAGCATTGTTTTTGAGTGACAACCGTGTTATCGTGCATCTGTGTGTGATTGTTCACATATTATATATCCAATCCAATCCAATAAGAATCTTTATAGGCAGTTTCATACTCGACGGCCGCTATGGTGTATTGGCAGAGCTGGGTAAATGAAATTACATTACAATTACATCCCTCAGTAATTGTAATTAAGAATCAATTCCTTCAGTTCACAGCAAAGGAATTGATGACGTTCTCAATTCCTTAGAAGTAATTTCAAATGTACTTGTTTTTTTTTTTATAATTCCATTACAAGGAATTTCATATTGTAAGTGGAATAAATGCGCTATTAATGTAATTTTTTCCCCAATTCCTTTGAAAGGAATTGAAAATGTAATTTATTATTTTCAACTCAGTTCAAAGAAAATAAAAAAAATTGTTTTCCAATTCCATTCCTCAAAGTAATTTAAAAAGTAATCGAAAAATGTATTTAAATTTTTTTTACTGTTGATGTGCAATAGCTTTGTTAAATTTCTTGGTTGTTAACTGCCTTGAATAAATAACTTATACCTACGTAGTTTACTAATTGGACCCTAAGAAAGCTGAATAACTTAAACTGTGGCTTTTCAGTTTATGGGGTAACCGTTAAATTTTCCGGATTCTACCGCGAACGCGCATAACCCGCCTTCGGTGAAGAATAGTCCGGACTGTTGCTGCCTCGGGCACTGCTGTTCTCTTGGACTAATTCCAGCGTATCTATAAAATTGCACTGGCTTAATTGTGTATATTATGGTACCCTTAATGCTACTCAAAATGGCGTGCCTATACTAATATATATTTTGTACCCATACTATAATATTTCATTTGTTTTGTCAATTTAATTGAGTTAAATTTGCAAAAAGGTGGCAACCCTATTGTTGTGTCGCCAAATGAACAAAACTATTTTGCGCGAATTTAAGAAA